CACGGGGCCCTGCCCAGAGCAGAAGCCCAGTAAGCGGGCGTCGACCGTAACTGCATACTGGAAGCTTCGTGGTGGAAGAGGAAGGGGCGGGTCTCTGGAGCCAGACTCGGGCCTGAGTGTTCTGCCCCTTGGGCAATAATTTACTGTGGGGCCTCAATTTCCTCCTCTCTAAAATGGAAATAATAAGCCAAGCCCCTGGCCCTGTGCCTCCTAGATGTTCAGTCAGCGTTGGTTTCCCGGCCTTGCTTGTTCTCCCGTTGGCAGCTGACTTTGGCTAGACTGGTCTTCATTAATTAATTCGAATTCATTCATTCAGCAAACTACTTCCTGTTGAGCTTGTAGGATGTGCCAGGCACTGGTGGAGCTCCTGACCCACCACAGGTCCCTCGAAGTTGGTTCTAGATCTAGATTTGCAGGAGGAAGATCATCCCAAACGACAGGTCGTTCCGAAAATAATTCCCGTTGAGCCCTGGAATACAGGCGAACTCCGTCTGTAACACGCACGCATGCGCTCCTGGCCTCAGCTGAGCAACGAAGGACCCTGTGGGGTTGTCGAATCAGCTGTGTGTGCAGCCTGTGTCCTTGTGCAAGCGTAACCGTGTGCGTGTGTGAACCTAGGCCTGGCCGCAGGGCAGGAAAGCTGACCCAGTCGAGGGTGGGCGGCCCAGGGCCCGTGTGGAGCCGTGTCCCTTCTCTGAGCAAACCTGGGCACCCGATATCGGTGTCTACACACTAGGTACCAAAGGAAGGGGGCGCGCACCTAACACCTGCCCCTCCCTGCCCTATTCTCAGGGCCCCTGGGGAGGGAGGGAGACACGAGGCTGGCTCCAAGGCTGCCCTGCCGCGCTGGCTGGCCGTCGTGGAGGATTTCGCACCCACGCCCCGACTCCTCTCGGGACGCTCAGCCGAGCCTCTTCTCCTCCGCCTGATGGGGCTTCCAGTTCCTTTGAAACACCCGCCCTCGTGGGAAAGTCCACTTGGCTGTCTAAACGCCGTCCTCCCTGCTGAGTGCAGCCAGTGTTCTCTCTGTTGCTGGAACACACTCGGCTCATTCATTTCAATCAATGAGAACATATTGGGGGAAATTCTGTAGGACACACAGAAGGAATATTGAGCTTGATCTCCACTCTCACCCTGACCAGTCATCGTGGCCCAAGGTGTAAATGCGAGGGCCACAAGGCACTAGGGACTTGGAGGGCTTCAGAGGATGGGGGAGGGAGGAGGTCACTGTGGGTCCCTCTGCTGCTGTGGACCCGGTCTCCAAGGGCTTCGAAGCCCGGCCAGAGGTGTGGACCTGGACAGGCAGCATCTCCGCTGCTCCCCTGGGACCACTCCCGCACTCCCCCCGCCAGGCCTCCTGCACTCTCTGATTTCCCTGGGGAGAGCAGCTCAGAGGGGTTGGGGCCGAGCCGGGGTCTCCCAGGACAGCTGGCTGACAGGGCCTCCCTGGGACTCAGCGCTAGACCCAGGCGTCCGGGAGGCAGGTGATACCGGAGCTGTGACAGTTGGTCCCCAGATTCCTCACCCCGCGGCGCCAGCTCTGGTTTCGGGCTGGGGTGAAGGCGGGGGAAAGGCTCCTGGTGCCCGCCGGGGCTGGGCGCTCTCTTGGGGCGGGTGGGGGCGGGGTGGGAGGCAGCAAACGAGCCCGTGGTAGGTGGTCAGGGATTTCTCCAGCACGCTCTGTACTGGATACTAACGGGCAGACTGCAGCATGGGAGCACAGAGACGAAAGGCATCCTCACCGCACAGGGGGTCTGAGGCGGCATCGAAGGTGAATGAATGAATGAATGAATGAATGAAGGAACAGGTTCGTCGATGATCTAATGGCCTCATTTCACAGAAGGGGAGACCGAGGCCCAGAGAACCCAGGTCCGTGGTTCTTTCGCGCCTCCTGTCCCATCATGCCGCTTGTCTCAGGACAGGGACGAGCGTGTCGGAGGGCTGGGAAGGGACTTCCGTTTCCTGATGCCCACGGGCCACCTCTGCGGCCTCGCTCGCATTTAATCCTCTTCTCGACTCTGAGGCTGGGATTGCTGTCTCTGCTTGACCTCAGGGGCCTACGGCTCAGAAAGGTTAAGTAACTCGTTCAGGTCACACAGCTGCTGAGTGGACCCTCCGGTGCTCCGTCCAACTCCAAAGCCTGGGACTGCAGAGGTAAACGGCGACACCTGTGAGTGTCCGGAGGCCTGAAGGGAGATTGTTCATGCTGGCGAGGCCCC